AAATCGATAAACATGGCAATAAGATTGTGATGTGTTAAATTTAGTTATTGAAAGAAAACTGTGAGTTCTTATGAGTTCTTCAGAGTTTTAGTGATATTCCAATTTTCCTCCCTGTTAGAACTATCAAATATATGTACTAATTATACAGTATATAATACATATATTGTTGTACTAATATATACCAAAGGAAGTTGTTACTTGTTCTGCCAAGGAGAGTCAATGAGTTCTAAATTACGCAGGTAACATGACAATTTTTTGTTCCTTTTTCTCATATCATATTCAGTGCATTTACTTGATACTTTAAACAGATAAAAAAAACTGTATGTTTTACATAAACTGATGCAGATTTATAATATTTGATTAATAATAATTAGATCTATTTTATAACAAATATAATAAATATAAAATTTAAACTAAAATATGTCTTAAAGTTGGTATAACTTCATACATTGTACATTTAAATTAGTGTTGCAATAGTAGGAACCTACAATTTCAATGCAAATGCAATATTATTATTTACCATTTAGATTTATAATTATTTCAAACTGAATATATAATTCATTGTTTTGTAGCATGACACTTATTCAGTTGGACAGTTTTTGTGTTAATGTAATTAAAGTTGCATGATAATATAAGGCGTGTGAAGTTCATACATTTTTAGAAAAGTAAGATGCTAGTGTTGTCTAGGTATCAAAATTTAAATGGCTCATGATGATTGATAAACAATCGAAAATAATTTAATTCATTAAAATTTGGATATCTAGACACTTGAATTTTAATTACTCGTTTCTTAAGAAGAAAATATTGAACATTGTGTTTATGAAACCACCAAACCTGATTTAAGAATTCAATGTTGCAGCTATTCAATATCTGTTCCGTAATATGCCACAACCCTGTAAAGCATTTCTTGCTAATAAACCATTCCTCTTCCAAATAATAGAATTGGAGAAATATGTTATACTATTTGAAGGATTAAATGCTGGAAAGGTACTGTATCTTCCGTAAAGAACATTACACAATTTTCACTTACACATGAAACACTAAGTCAAGTATTATATGGACTGAAAAGCTCAAATTATGATCCATTCAATTTTGGGGTAAGAGGCAAGTAGGGTGATTAAATGCTCAAAACTAAATTAAAAGAAGTCAGCAAGACAACTGAACTCTTCACCTCTGTGATTCAGGTGTTTTGAGGTGTTGATGGTTGAATGTCATGAGAAGTTGCATCTGTAAGAAGTGTAGTTTGTAGTTTGAGCTGTGTGAAGCTATTATTTTTCATAATGTCAATTATCTTTCATTGAGAACTTACTATACAAAATAGAAAGTTAGCATTACATTCTAGTGTTTTAGCTGTTTGTAGGTAGTTTGAGGAAAGAAGGGTTTGAGAAAAAGAAAAGCTTATAGGTAGCAATAATGTTATGATGTTCTTTCTATAAAATCTGTAAGAACAAAGCTTAAAGAACTTAACCAAGTTGTGCAAGTTGAATATGGACCTTGTACTAACAAAATTACATTTCTAGAATATCCATTGCAGCCAAAAAGTACATTAGAAAACTCCAAAGAGTGTTTTCTTAAAATATGCCGTAATATAGTGGCCATTCAATTACAATTTACAATTTTTAATAAAGATTCCAAGTCTGTAGGATCTCTTGATCTGGGTAATTTTGCATGAAGATTTTCCCACTTAGATTGTTAAGACATGCTCGCATAAAAAAATTTAAAAAACTAAAAATAAATAAATAAATTTAAAAAACTAAGAAAAAAAAAGTCAGACCCAAAGACTTGAAACTTGTTTCTCTACATATGTCAATGTGCTGAAGCCAGAATTGCACTACCTCCCTCTTCTTTTTTTTTCTTTTTTTTTTTTTAAATCATGAAAATGAAATGAATGCTAATAGTAATTGTAGTTATTACTGTATGCCATCTTTTTGATTTCTTTCTTGTTATTATTTTGATATAAAAACCTCAAACTCACTGAAAATGGAGTTACAATACTATCTCTGAGATTCAGAATTGATGTGGATAATGAACACCAATTTCAAATTAGAGATGGTAGAATAATGTTATATCAGTTGAAGTATATGTGACTTCATTTGTGTTCAAAATTCATTTTTTATGAAGGTGGTTTGAGCATTTGTTTTATTTATTTATTTATTTATTTACATCAAAAACAGTTAAAAACTGTGTGTGACCTGCTATGGGGAGAAGTTAACTTGAAGTTACATTTATGTCCAGAAGGAAAACAAGCAGCCAGCGCAGCATATACTGAAGGATCAGGGGAACTGGACGAAAACCTGATCGAGATGGTCATTGACCCATTTTCTGTCCGTTTCATTATCTGTCTGAATATTAAGTTGTATATATTTTTCTTTTTATTTGGAGCCTGAGCTTTCTCAGAACCAGGAATTAGCAAGCAACTGTATTGTTGAAATGATAATGGTGCACTAAGTACTTTCAAGTACCTACATACTTAATGAAGTTGCAGTAAATAACTGCTAACACTAGGAAACTATTCCTTTTTGGCAAGCATTTTCTCCTCTACCAATGCCATGTTTTAGGAGTCTTCATCTGTCATATCTATTTATTGGCTCTAAGGATTTGAGATATCAATTGATTTGTATGTTTGGTTTGGTGATGCTGTAATGCTAAGTTTAGAAGATGTCCCTTGTGTGAGATTTAAAAATGGGTATTTAAAGGAACATGTTTAAAACCGGTATTATGCAGTGGGAAAATTAAGAAGTTTCACTTGATTTACTTGAACAGATTTTCTGGTTTGCAAAATAGCAAGTTTGTTCTTTTTACTTCAAGATCACAAGCCTGAGGACAGTATCTCTTAGGAAATTGCTGTGTCAGGCCAGTCGAAATCGGATGTTTAAATGGGATTGGGGTTCAGTCCCATAGTGTTCCTTGCCCTTAGTGTTCCTTTCCTGCTCCCCCACCTCCCCCGTTCAGCAGGATGCATCTGCATTGATAATGACACAGTACTCTTCTCGTGCACAGATTCAATAAAAAGCATGCCAAAGTGTTCAAATATCTTCAAAATATGTATTTTGGAGTTGAGAAAACAGTTTTAACTATTTCTGATGTGAATGAAATGAATGATGAATAAATGCAGGAACGAACGAACGAACGAATGAACAAACGAACGGGCAGACGGATGGATGAATGAACGGAGGAAGGAATGCACGAACGAAGGAATGCATGAATGAACGGATGAATAAATAAAGTTTGCTAATTGAGCTAGCTGGCTTGAATAGCAATGCCCAGTGAAATTACACTTTCTTTACAGTCAAATATCTTTTTAATTCCAAGACGAATTATTTTTTTGTTAATTATGTAGTGTTGAAATGTGCATCTTTAGTCATACTATCATATGAATTCGGAATCTCAATAATAGCATTATTTGAAATATAAAAATTTGTAGGCAAGTCTAGTTTACTTTTTTTTGGAGATTCTCTCATATACTATATTTGCATGCCTCCTTTGTTGTAGGATAGTGCTATCAGCAGTAGATCTTTTCATCATAAAGACCTAAATTAGAAAGTCTTCTCTTTTTTCTCTCTTCATGGCTGTGAATGAGCATGTGGTGCATTGAGATATGTAAAAATGTTGGTTGAGGGATATTGGGAGTTAGCATGTAGCATGTTAATGCATGTCAAGTTTTGGTACAGTTCATTGATAATTGTAATAATAGTTCTTTAGAAGTGGGTTTGATCTCTTGAAAAGTTGAGCTAGCTGAAAACTAACTTGTACATTAGGTTAGTGAACTAAAATAATCCTACTCAATTGTATTATGCCCATTTGAAGATATGTGTTCATTTTATGGTTGGAATACTCTTGATTCCAAAATACTGAACATTTTCACTTTCTTTTTTATTTTTTTTTTTTATTGCTCTCTTTCTAATGATTAAAATTTTGTGTACAATATACTATTAAATCTTGATTTGAAATAGAATTTAAAATTGCAGTAATAGTTTTAAAAGTAATTTTGCTTTTTTAATTTTTTTTAAATTTAATTTTTAGAAGCAAAGTGCAGATTTTTTTTCCCCCTTTAAGAGATTGTTCCCACTTCTATTTTTATACCATCTTGTTTTTAAAAGAGCACTTCCTTTAAATAGAAAGTTTAATAAATGTATCCAGACCTTCACAACCACATACATTCATTTCTTCTCACCCTTGCCTTGAGTATGAAGATGTATAGTAAATTGTTCTGTGGATTGAATTTTCATTATTAAGAATTTTTGTATTCTAATCTCAAGATAGTTGGGGGAAAAAATGAACCATTTTTTAACTTTCAGGTTCTGATCACCTTTTCAATCAATTATCTTTTTGTAAAATGAATACTGACCACTTCTGTGTAGAAATTCTATCAGATTATTGTAAAATGCTGAATTCCTATTCTAACTTGTTATCAGATATGAAAAAGATTTTTCTTTTTTATGTATTTGCGTTAAATGTGTGTCTGGATTGTTTTTTTATGCTTTCTCTGAATCAAGATTAAAAGAAATAAGATTTCAAAAAGATCTACAATCGAAAATAATTTTAAAAAATAACAAAGCCTTTCATCATATTTGAAAAACGTTATGTTCTTCAGTTTCATTTCCCCACTGGGAGATTTGTTATTTCAGAAATTAGAATATAGTTCTTGAATGTCCATTCCTGCCAAGAACTATTATTGAATTTGAAAGTAAACCACCTTGTAACAGTGTCATATTTCCCTCTAATAAATCTTTGTATTGATCTTTCTTGATTCTACAATTATGTTTATTATTTAGTCAACAGAAATAAAAAAATATTTGTAACAACTCTATTCAATCTACAAATTCCTTTCATTCTTATTACATATCTTTTTAAGGCCCTTTTGCTGTGCTTATTGTGTGTGGTTCAGTGATAAAGCAAATACACTTCAGAAGTGCTCTTTTAATTTTGTTTTCGTAAAATAAATTTGTATTAAGTGTGAAAAATTCCTTCAACTAATGTGTATTCTGTTTCTCCAATAGGAATGATAATGGCAATGAGAATGATGCTCTTGCCTGATCCAGTCTTCAATGTAAACCATCCTTTCTATGTTGCCTTGACTTCAGTGACTGGAATTACTCTTTTTGAAGGCAGAATAATGCAACCTCCACTAATTACGTCTACGTAACATCACATGACTGGAGTAATGTTTATCTTCAGTTACATTGTAAAAGATATTTTGTAATTGCATTCTAATTAGCATTTCATGACTTACTTACATATGTACTATAAAGAACAAAACTTCCTGATTTTTTTATTTTGTCTTATCTGCTTGGAAATGATGTTAAAAATAATATAATTTTTTGTGATGAATTGTATTTGTACGGAGAATGGAGAAATAAAATAATGATAAATTATAGAAGTCTAAAAATTCTTCATCAAACACTCATCATAATTCTCAAGAAGCATTAATGTTGATTCGAGAAATCAGAAAAGGATCGTAGATGAATTGTATCTTTAACTAGATGAAAATATGTAACAAAGGCTACAGAAGTCATTTGAAATTAACGCAATGACTTCTAAATTGCTGGTAGTAGTTTAAAGAGGGAGTGTGTGTGCTGGAATTGTGGAACAGTGCTAATTGGAAACTAGAGGTGCTACAACAGCACACACATTATCACATTAGTGGAAATAGGTATGTAACATCGAAATATTGTAATTTCTGCTCTACTAACAATTCAGCTATGGTAGGAAAAAGTGGTAATCTCTTTTTTTGTGAATAAATTAACTTAATATTTGCAGCGCATTACACAGAAAAGAAAGAATAATTTCACACAAGCTTGATTACGTCGAAGTGAGCTAACAATTAATGAATACCTCAATCGGCGGTAAACTATGTAAAAGACGTGTAATTTTAAAAGTAAGCTAAAACTATTACCTTCCTTTCATAAGAATATTACCTACATCATACGATTATCACGACAATAGAAGCATTGGAATAATTTGAAACCGCCGTGTTGCTATTTTTCGGACCGACAGCGTCAAACGAAGCGCGGGAAATTTTAATTTACAATTTCGAATCTTGCAATTTTCGAAAATACAGAGAGTGCGTCGAAAATACGACCAGCACCACTTTCAAATAACTAAAATATTTTTAACATGGCATGCGAGAATCGTGATTTGTGGTGCTTGAATTCTGTGTGCGAAACGCCGTTCTTCTCGCCGGATCTGGGTCCCACCGGAACGCAGTTTGCCCTCACGGCCAGGAGTTCCAATCCCCATTCAACGCCTAGGTCGGGCCGCCCTGCCAGCGCAGAGCACCCTACCCGCACGCAGCCAGGGTCTACTCGATGACTGGTTGGAGCAGCTCTTCCAGCTCAGACCTACTAATTCTCCGTGTTGGTACTAGTGTATTGTTTTAAGTGACATTCTTAAGCGCCGGGTGAACCCTCCCCAATAGTCATTGGGTATCAAGCCACTGCCACGACGAAGCGAAGAGCCCATCAGTGGGCCACCCGAATTATGGTCCGAGCGGCTCGGGGCCCCTTCCTGTCTCCTCACCGCAAGCATCTTTACACTATAGACGTGAGTTCCACCGAGAACAGAACGCCTGCCAGGAGTTCCAATCCCCATTTCGGGCTTTAAAGTGGGTTAGGGACTCACCCCTAAGAGGCTACCCTAGTAGTGTTAAAGCTTAGTTATTTCAAATATCCTACTATACGATGTTATTTGGTAAAAATGATTTTCATGTCCTAGATATTTGTAACATTTATTCAGAGACATTCGAGGGGGGAGAGAGGGTGGGAGTGTTAAATGCAAACATAACATAAACTGAAAAGAGACACGCTAGAAATTTGACGTCGGTTGCTAGACATTTTTGGCGCTGGCGATGCAACTTTGCTCGATTCAGAAAGCGTGGAGGACGTTTAATGCAAAACGTCTGTAAAAAATATATATCTAATACTCGATCAAAATTCTTCCTCCTCTATATCCTTCAAAATTTGAGTAGTACGTGGGTTTTACATAGTGTTTTACCAGCTGGCGATATGTTGAGAAGATTTGGTGCACTCTCTTCCAACACCGGATGTCCCGCGAAAGGGGAGCTGTGACATCGTCACATCTGGGTCTCGCCAGTCCTCTGTGGACGTGAAGGTCACGGAGGACAACGTTATTTTTCCTACTTTTGTATTAATACGTAAGACGGGATTTCGGCAGGGGGTCTCAACCTTTCTTCACATCTTACATACCACCTACAAGCCTAGAGAAAATTAGCATATCACTTGAACGAAAATAACTTTAAACATTTTAAATAGCAAAACAAGTCCATCCCAAGTGAAACATTGTTTATCCATCGAACACTAACGAGACTTGAATTGTTATTTTGCACGAATGACGATCGATATCAAGGTCAATGTTATACTAATTTTCAATCTCAAGATGTTTTACACGTCGTATTTATTCACATATTTATTTTTTATGTAAAATCAAGGAACATGTCTATTCACAAAGGTGAGATGACATGATGGTATTGATGGTATTAGATATTGCAAGTCTTTGTGCGGATAATGCATAATATTCTTTTTGAACAGCCAGCTAAAAAATCGCGACTTCTTTACATCTGAAAGTAAATTTTAAGACGAAATTACTGGTAGAATGGCTTTAGCATTAATGTTAACTATACAATTTGTAATACATGTTTAGATATGTTTATATGTATTTCACTTTTTTCCATAATTGAAATTCGAAAAGAAATACTCCATTTTTCTTTTCACGTCGCCAGTTGAGAGTCCCTGAGAGGTATTCAAGATAGCTGAACGACATATGTTCTTTCCGAGAGCACTAAATATTGTTTTTTATTGCTTTCCAACTCAAGAACCATGATTCACACAAAAATGCGGTTGGTCTCATCAAAATGTTGACTTTTCGTACAATTTCATTCGCTGGATATTTGTGCTTTACTTCAATAATAAGAAAGTTTACCACATGATGAAAATTTAGGGACGTCAAAATGTAGAAGTAAACACTTGAATATAATTTATAATGAATTTGTTCGTAATTAAACTCTTAATCTCCATTATAAAATAAGCATCATATTCATAAGAGTTCTGGGAATAACTGATGGAAAATTCACCTGTCTAAGATCAACATGATTGAAGCTATCGTTGAGTAATTATGTTAAATCTTTGCGCGAGAAACAGGATGGACGAGCCGAAAAACCGAGAGCCTTGTGAATTGGCAACACAACAAATTTTATTGGTCTGAAAGAGAGGGCAATACTCCATGTGTCTCCGTACTGCAATCAAATGTTCGGACGCACAATAGGTAGCACCACCAATGTTAGCATTGCTTGTGTCTGCAACGGCCCAAGCTGACGCGCGCCTCCCTTTTGTCATGACATCTCTCAACCAATAAGAAAAGAGAAATGTCGTTTATCCAGCTTTGGAGTTGGATTGGAACGGAGGCTCTCGTGCGTCTAGGCTCCTCCTGTGAAGGCGTGTTGCGGTCATAGACAGTGGTTGCGATGGAGATTGAAGGGCAGGCCCAGTCTTTCAATGGACACAATAAAATCTTCCTTGGAAGTGCCGTTTTCGCGGAGAAGTAATCCTAAAAGAAGAGAAATTCTAAATCTAATTATTTTATTTGGAATGTCGCCAAAAATAGTTTGCCATTAAAATAAAGGTCTTTGAGTTTCAATTTGACAATATGATTTCATGCCTAAATTTGTCTGGGCCTCCCCACGTTTTGAACCCACCGTCAGCCACTGCCACCAACAAAAAGGAAGGAAAATACATTTTTCACCACATATTATCATCTATCCGCGACTGCCCGAGGACTGTTCAACGCCATCCGACTAGGGGACGGCTGGCACGAGGCCAATGTTGGGCCAGAACGCCAGCCAATCAGAGGGACCCCTTCGCCAATCACGGTGCACCTGCCCCAACCGAGCGACCAGGCCGGACAGTACTTAACACAGGAGGCGCAGCATTGCTGTGTCGCCCAATGAAACGGTGAGTTTGGCTGGCACGCATATAGCTTGGCAGAGCGAAGTGAGATATTTGGGCGTGCTACAAGCGGCCTCGCTGGCTTGCGCACGTTCGGTATCTCGCTGGCAAAATTAAAACTTGCACCCTCCTATTGAAACTTCTTCTCCGTGCTCTCGACCTCTCAATTCCTCTAAACCGCCGATTATTCACTGCATGCGTCCCTTGTGGGCGTATGCATGTGAGGTATTCGCGGCCGCTTCTCCCTCCACTCTGCCCCCATCTGGGTAGCAGAGAACAGAGCGGCGCGCCTGCACTTGCCTTTTACCAGACTTGACCGACAACCCAAAAACGTTGACGTCTTCAGGATCTTAGGCGTTCGCAACCAGTTCCCGGCGGAGCTACAAAAGAGGGCGGAGACGGCGCTCGCAAGGGCGCTGAGGCCGTCCGCTCCGCGCATCCTGCGCGAGACCGGCAAAGCTGCGAACAGCGGAATGCACAGGGCCTTCCACAGAAGAAAAGGCCCACAGCACGTCGCCTTTACCTTCCGCGCACTGCCCCCGCACAAGTTCTCTGAGCTCTGCGATGCGGGGTATCAGCAAGTACGAGGGAAGGGATCGCCGCTCACGGATGCCGGGACCCGCGCGGGCGGCGCGAAGACGCGTTCCGCCGGGCCAGCGTCGTCTGCCAAGTGAAGTCGGCGCCGTGGCGAATAAAATCAGTGTACATAGTGTAGTGTTGTGTTGTGAGTGTGTGAATGAATGTGTTGTATGTATTGTTTAAGAGTAAATGTGAGAGTAAACGATTAATAATATAAAAAAGAACATTTTTAAGAACTTCCAAAACTTTGTTCTCCACTGTGAAAGAACTAAAATTGGCCAAAAGTGGCAGATGTAGTAGTTACTAAGTTATATTATAAGTTAGTATATTTAAGATAGGCCCTACCTAAAGCTGCAAAAGCCTAACCGGCTGCAGCAAAATATCTACCCCATAAGCGAAAATAAACTCATCCCTCCAAGACAACTGGATTGGGGAAACCAGAAAAAAAATCGCTGTGTCGGTGTCACTCTGAGCTGTTCGAACTATACGAAAGTGAACGCTGTGAGTGCGATTTTTGTGCTATAAAGAGTATAAATTCGTGTGACTCAAGCTGGGGAAAAAGAACCTGCCCCGGAAGGTTGCACCCATGCTACATTACAAAGAGACCCATATGCGCCGCATCTAACCTCAGCAAATCTGCAGTCGACACTTGTAGAAAATTGGTAGCTACCAAGACGGCAACAACGCTCCAGCCCCCGCCCCCACCACCGACTTTATTATCAGAGCAAACTCCATCTTCAATAAGAGGAAAGGCACGCTTGTGGAAATGCTCTGTGTCGTTTCTGAATTGTAATTCTGGTGCGCGAGATTCTATTACTATCTCGAAACAGTGTGAGTTTTCTGAGCTTCTCGGTGCATCAAACACAAATGCTACCACTTTATGCTGTGGATCCTTTAATCTAAATACTTGTAACCTTTCCTCTCCATCAGAGAACATGATGGCAACTCAATCACACCAAAAACCAACGCAGACTCTCACGTAGATGCAATAGTCATCATGGGAAATAATAATGCAATATCAGCAATAGTGAGGCGAGTAAAAAACAAATGCCAACAATGCAACCAATGGAGACGGCTTCATCCGGCGCCTTCGTGAGAACAGGCTCTGGGACCATTTTTCTTTGCTTGACGTCACAAATTGTAGGGTTGCTCTTCGACCTAAAACCCTCTTTGCTCATTAGCGCGGCATCGAACTTAGGTTGTGTGTTCCAGTTCGATCTGTTCCTCTTTTGTGTGTTAGCCAGCGCAGTAAATACAGTTATTTCGTAATTATGTTTGTGCGTTTTCATTGGAATTTTTTACTAAGTAAATCAAGCTTACTGAAGTATCGACAAGAAGTTGTGAGTGCCTACTGGTGACCGACTATAGGGAACTATTCCAGTAAAGTATGAAGTATTTCATTTAATTAATTTGTATGTATTATCAGGGTAGTGAAATAATCTTGATAATGATATTGTAATTTATTTCAAATAATTTGAAATTATGGGTTTTGTAGGAGCAGTATGCCTTTCTCATGCTGTGTTCCTGGTGTAATAGGAATTTCAAAACTGGCCTACGTGTTCGAGATTTTTCATATCCCAGCCAAGAAAAGCATCCAGAGTTATATTACTCTTCATGTTAAGTTACTGCTTCAAAAAGTTATTGTTTTGAAGTTCGTTTGGTGGCAAATGGTGTATAGAGTTTGAACTTCCAAAATGATTTTCATGGGGAATGTTTCAAAATAAATTACCTGTAAAAATATGTATGCAGGGTTTAGCATTATATCTATTATTTGTTTCCAGAAAAATGATATTGAACCGCAGCTGTTATGTTAATATCTTTTCATAAACTATTTAATTTACGCTCATTATTTATTTTCATTATAGGTTTGCGAGAGACATTTTTACAAAAATTATTTTCGAATACAGGCATTAGATGAGAAGATTGCCACAATACTAATAGTGCCTTTACAAGTGTCTCGACTACTTCCTGAAGCTGTTCCTACACAATTTCCAGATCTGCCCTCTTATTTATCTGCCCCCCCTACAACTTACAGAGAGTGGCCAGAGCAAAAGGGGATGAGGAGAGAGTGTGCTGCAATAGAGCAAGCCATTACAGACAGCTTTAAAGAACATGAGGAATATGAAAAGACCAGAAGTTTCTCCTCATTTGAAGAACTCTGATTGAAACTTCACTTTTTGATAACAGTGAGTGGAAAGTACTTCAAGAAAGTGATTCAATTACTTTTTATAAAGTTGTTCTTGCATCTTATCCGAGGATAACTGCATCTCTTTCAGTAGATTTGAATTTACATTTGAAAGTGTTCTTTGAAGGCTGTGACATAGTGAGGTTAGGGGATGAAAATGTGCGTGCTACTGGGACAAATGTTGGGGAAATTGGTGCAATATTTACTAAATTAAACTCTTGGTGAGTGTTCTGTTGAGGAAAGCGATGATGCCCATTTAATAAATGTAGATGTTTTAAAGACGGTATAAATGAAAATGTCTCCTTTATGATTGAACAGTTAATGTTAATTTATACGAAGGTGAATGCAAGACGATACTCTCCTGATTTAATGATTTTTACTTCACTGTTTTTTACTCTGGCTCCAAATCCATACCACTTTGTAGGAGAGACAATAAAAATTACTTTACCTCAAGGGTCCACATCATTCTCTCAACTTGAAATACAACCTTACTCCGCAGAATGAACTAGGAGATGAACATTTTCTGTCTTATACAAAGAAAAAAATTGTATGCCAGAACGATAATGACAATTGTTAATCTCCTTGTTGATGAAATTTACGTTAAGAAATTTTGGGAATACAAAAGTGGTGCAATAGTTGGACACAAAGGTGGTTGCAATGGTCATACCACAATTCGACAGAAAGTGCTGGTAGTGCTCATGTGTTCATGATAAGTAGTATTAAATCTAAGTTTAAGGATGTTGTGCATATTTTGCCTGTCTTCTATAACTGCAGAAGTGTTTCATTCATAATTGAAGCGTATACTCGTAGGTTTAGAGGATATTGGATACAAAGTCATTGCAGTTATTTCTGATGACAACAAAATTAATTCTAAAACTATTAGCTTTTTTGCAGTTCCCCCATAAAACCAAGTAGTGTATCCTCACCCTAGTGACTCACAGAGGCCATTTTTTGTAATTGCCACATTACATCTATTAAAATGCATTAGAAATTGCTGGCTTAGACAAAATAATGAAGAGCAATCTATGTTCTATCCAAAATTCTCCAGGATCGAAAATGCCATTGAATCGTCAGGTGCACAGGCTGCATCTCTTGGCACGCTGAAGAAATTGCATTCTCTTCAAGTCAATTCGTTAGCCAAATTTGGTTGTTTATTGACTTTTAGAGCACTGGCTCCAAGTACCTTGGAAAGGCAGAATGTAAAATTAGCTCTTCAGATTTTTAATAAGCACATCTTTGAAGGCTTAAAGGAAATGGGTGCTAGAAAGAATTTGCTACATTAGAAGAGACTACAAATTAGTACATGGTGGGAAATTGTTAATGTTCGGAAACCATTTACACGAACACTTGAACAACATTTATCAGACACCATTCACGAATGATTCTGGGGATGTAAAATATGTGTGCCTGGGTAAATGCATTGACTGACTGGATGCTTGTGAAAAGATGCAAATCAGTAGTGGCAAATTGAACAGAAACACATTCTGCATTAAAACATTTTACTTCTGCTCTGATGGAAATGGCTTCAAACTGTGATAATAAGCTTAATTTTAAATACATGCTGTCTAGAAAATATCAGACATGATTTGGAAAGCAGATTTGGCTTGTACAAGTCACTTTCTGATAGCCAATATCATTTTTCTTTAAGACAGTTGTATGAATGTGAAGCTAAACTGAGGCTGCAGGCATATTTAAGGTTAAACATGTTTTCAAAGAAATATGAGGACATTTCTGTAGATACATCATTGACAACAGAAACTCACATGGGTCATCATGATCATGGCATTTATGTTGAAGTGTTTTCTAACGATTTTGAAAATGTAATGGAATGTTTGCCTGTATTGGTCTACTTTGCTGGCTACTGTGCTTTTTCAGTTGTCAAGAGGCTTAAATGTGACCATTGCAAAACTACACTCCTCTTTGACAGGGAGCTTCCATTTAATGAAAACTTCAGTATAATAAGCAAAATGGATCGGAGAGCTCTTGCTTTTCTTATTGAAAATGTAGTTACAGTTGTTACTACAAATTATATTGTAGTAAAGAAGTTGTGCTTGACTCAATCGGCTGTTTTTTTTTAGAAAAACAAGTTATTGATAACATAGACTGGCTATTCAAGTATATTGGCGACAAATTGCAAACACCTCTTCAAAATAAATATCACTCAGAATTAAATTATCCATAAACCAGGATAATTACCCGATCACGCCAAAATTGAACTCCTACACGAAATGCAAAAAGACACGCAACTAGAATATAACTACAAACGCGCAACAGAGGAGCCCCACCATGGATTAATTGTACGCGGTCTAGATCTGGACATACCGTGCGAGAGCATTAAAGAAGAAATCGAAATGCATCGCATTAAAGTACACCACATTGGGAAAATTAAAAAGAAAAATCGGTCCGCAAAAAATACCTCGCTAGGGCTATACACTCTAAATCTAAACCACCACCTCCTCAACAAAATGCGCGTCATACGACACCTGTGCAACTACAAAATCCATTTTTAAGGGCCAAAAAATAAAGATTACATTCCCCAATGCACTACCTGCCTCACATGGGGGCGCACAAAAAACTGTTGTAGGCGACACCCCCGCTGCATGGGCTGCGCAGGCGAGCACGCAACAACGCACTGCCCAGTAGTCGATAAAGTAAACACCCTCCTAAGTGTTATAACTGCAACAAGGCTCATACAGCCAACTTCAAACAATGGGAAGTTACCTACGCGCTTAACAAACCCGCATGCATCTAATAGCTTACGCGCCACACGTGAACAACGCAATAATGCCAAAAAACAACCATGTTGGTCCCCAGGTTTCCATCCGCAGCAATTCACCGGGACGGCCATCAGCAATGTTTGGAATAAACAAAACACGACTAAAGAATCTCAACAATAAAATAGCTCTCTCACTGATCTGAAAGAAATTGTAAACCTATTAAAATGTCTCAACCTTGCAAAAATTACAACTGCAATCAAAACCGTGATCAAAATAATGAAGGTCCCAGGCAATAAGCTAACAAAAGTTCTAAATGCGTTTATGACTATTGAAGACGCTATTTTAATGGCTACAATTGCCAAAAATCGATTATGCCACGACGTCTCATGGAACACTAAGAGTATTCTCCTCCGTACGAAACCTCTTCTTGAAAAATTGTGTGAGGATTACAATATTTAACTTTCAAGAAACTTTTCTCTCAAGTAGTCGTAACTTCACCCTGCGAGGATACCATATTTGCAGAATATTTACAGATAGCGCAACGGGTGGACAGAGCGGCGGGACGGCAATAGCTGTACGACGAGCAATACTGCACACACGCCTAAATACTCACACTCTCACTCTCATCGAAGCAACAATAATAGAAGTAGGCACGATCACCGGTCCAGTTAATTTCATACCTGTTTATAAATCGCCACAAACACAGTTAATAGAGAACGACCTGACGGCAAAAATTGCCACGTAGTTGTCCTTTGCGACTACGGTAAAGGTGGGTCGTCTGACCTTTCGACTAGCTCAGAAGGAAGAAAGGTGACTTAAAACCAAGGGATGACGGGCGGACGTTGTTTCGATTGAAATAAAAAAAAATAAAATGAGATTAACATAAAGTTTAATTGACACAAATTGCAATAATAATAATAATAATAATAATAATAATAATAATAATAATAATAATAATAGACCGAGCACGATCTCGAGCACGAAAAATTTTACCCACAATTAAGCCAAAACAAGTAAATTCCTAACATTAAAATTACAATATTTTTTACGTTGATTCTTTTAAGAGCCAAAGCGCGGCTTATAATTCTTTCTTTTTTAAACACAAATTGAGAAACGAATGTCTGAATCTAAAGTTCGTTTTATTTTGGTGCCTGAGGGGCAGTTGAGAGTTCACAGCTAAGCTCTTTCATACTCGTCACCGTAACAGCCGCGGAGTTCATTCAGCCTGTGGCGTCTTGCCGGGGCAATAAATTACAGACGTGAACGGCTTGTAAATATTTAGTATTTATTAGAAATAAAATACTCCGACACCATAATACTATATACAATATTTAACAATAAATGACGCGTTAAAGGAAGGCAACTTTCCCTGGTTTACCCACTCCGCTGGCCCCGAATAATTAATTACCACTGTTCCGTGTGAGTGCACGCAAGTACTTACGCGAGCCTACCAGCGCAGTATAGCCGCACCTACGTTCGCACGACGTAGCACGTCCGGCTTCGGTTCCCGCTCCGTCGCCTATGCATACAATGCAACGGGCCGCGCACAACCCACACGACGCCTTACCGACGCGCCCAAGATCAGATGAAAACAGAAGATCGAGCCTAGGTCGGGGATTCGCGCTTATATACCTTTCTGGGCAGGCTGACGGAACCTTGCGTCACCGCCAGTGTCCGCCGACGCGGTTTTCCGCGGCCGGGGGTCTCCACGTTGCCTCCCACGAACTTCCTTGCTTCCCTAGCCTTTGTGGCAGCCCAGCGTCTTTTCCGCCAGCGCTGTCCACGATGGCTGATATAGTACGTTTGTACTGGCGACAGATATGACGCCACAAGCCGAGCGGGGCAGTGGTTTCCCTCAAAGGGCGACCCTGGAAGTCGCTGCGGCTGGGATGGCGGCCAGGCCAAGGCCGAGCGGTTGGAGACATTCGATGACGGAGGCGGGCGGCCGCGGAGCAATGCTTCACTCAGCTGGCGGCGCCAAACAATGCTTTTGACCAGTAAGGCATCGGTCGCTGCGGTTCCCGGAGTCACTTCCGCGTGATTATGTCAAATACGGGCAGCAGATTTTGTTGCACGCGGTGATTGTATTTCATAAAACTAACGGACTCTCCAACGTGACGAATTTTGGGAATAATTACTTTGTCCAGTAAATGGAGGCCAAGCACGGTACGTAAAATCATGTGGACCGATAACACTGCGGTTCGAAAAGTTTCTAAGCCCGAAGTTGCAAAATTAACTCAAGTGGCTGCGCGCAGAGGTGCGAGCGCATTTAGTGCTCAGAAGAAACACGTCTGAAGCCTCCAACCTCCGCAAGTAATTAACTTCGTGTCTCTCCCTGTGTCTGTGTGTACGCTCGCGTAAGCGTCCGCGAAAGCCCCCGTTTCCCCCTCCCAGAATCCCAGAAGTTCCATAAAGTTCTCCAAAATTTCCGAATCTAGTCAATGTCAGGCTAAAGGAAAGTGCGCAATGAAAATCTCTTGCCCAATCGCTGAAGGGGTTCTAAAAAGGAAATCCGAGTGGAAAATTTCCAGTATTTTCTGCCTCTCATTTCTCTTTCTCTCACTGTGTGTACGAAACACGCGTGTGGGCTGATAGCAGCGTCGCAGAAGGTGGCGCGGGCGAACATAATTCCTGTTAATTGCCTCTGGGTGGTAGGAGGGAGTCGCGTGCGCGTTGTCTTGGCGCCGGTGAGGCGCGCGAAGTCTCTTTGTAGCATGCTACTATAAGAAAAGTGCCGAAATTAATATTATTTAAATGTAAAGTATTCGGTAACGCCACTATTTAATAATGACAGGCGATCTGAAAATGCTCGAATGGGGATGTCGCCGAAATGCAACAGTAGGAAATAAATTGAAAAAATGTGTTGTAAATTCCTAACACCCACTATTTATACAACCTCCCTCCGGCCCCACGCACCTCTCAAATTCACTCCCGCACGATATTTTTGATTTAGTCATTCATTCTTCTGTCCTGTCTCCCACAGTTCCGCAACCTCTAAATGAACTCGAATTGGACAACCTACCCATTATCTTTGCCCTACACCTCGGAGCATGCCTACCCATTATTTTTGCCATATACCCAATAAAATAATGAACAGAAACTGGCGTGGATATAAATACCGAGTGGCATGTAAACTTTAACCGTGTATGCAACAATTAAAAACTCCAGCTGATATTGACATCGCTCTCAATAAATGTGCCTACCAACTAAATGAAGCCTACAAAATAAATTCAACCAACAACCCCGCCAAAAACCAACGCCCACCACTCCACATAGAAATAATAAAAAAAAATCAGAAAAGACGAAAAGCGCCGAGGCAATACTGTAGAACAAGACAGACAACGCAGCTTTCCAAAAAATACGACGAGAAATTTCAAGACTATTACAGCAACTCAAGGCCGACTAATGGGAAAAATTCCTCAAGCGAGCTTCCTTAAAGACAAGAACGACATATGGAAAGTACAGAAATAAATACGAACACTTACTATATCAATATCTAAACAACCCAGACCTACCTACGTAATAGAATAAAACTCTTATTGCCCTGCCCTGGTAACGAAAAAGTGGGTAAATCTAGTTGCTAAATACCGAAAATGTGTCTAGAGCCATGTTTCTTACCGTTCCTTGTTGCATATATGGAGAAAATTAAAAAAAATTTTAACTATTAAATTTATTTTAAAAAACAACTAAAAACTAGCATTTTCTAAGAAAAAAGTGTGATTTTCAATCGCAAAATATGCAAAAACTTCACCTTTTTAAAAAAATGGTACATGACCTTTATTAAAGAGCTAATTTTGTAAAATAAGCCTTGTCTGAGGCAAAAATCTGTCTTCAATTTTATAGTTTAAAAATGTTTTTTATGCAATTTTGAAAAAAATGAGTGATATCCGAAAATGGAATTAGCATCATATTTTTTTTACCGTTTCTTATTACAGAAATGAAGAAAGTTTAAAGAAAAAATTTGGAGCGGTGTTTGAGAAAAAAAAATCAATCGCAAATTACGCAAAAACTTCTCGTTATTAAAAACATGTACATGACCTTTTTTAAAGAGCTAATTTTGTACAACAGACTTTTCTCAGACAAAAATCTCTATCTTCAATTTTGAAGTAGAAAATGTTTTTCCAATTTTCGAAAAATCGGGAATGTCAACGAAAATGAGACCTGCGCCATTCTTTTAACGTCCTTTCCACTATTCAACTACAAAATTTAATCAACAAATTTGGAGCCATTTTCTTGAAAATTTTGAAAATGTCCCAAAGGCGAAATGTTAAGTATTTCCCAAAATTGAAATATCAGTTTGAAATCCCAGGATCCGCGACATCTGCTAGAACGACTGAGGAATATCAATTTTGGAGAAAATCAGCTGAACAGTTCATTCGCTAACGTTGTGCACAGACAGATGGACAGGCACGATTTGCCGTCAATCGATTTTTCGGTATTTAGCAACTGGATTTATCCACTTTTTCGTTACTAGGGTAGGCAATAAGAGTTTTTACGTCGCAAATTCGCCGTTTTCCGGTGAACGGTAGCAAATTACGGTGCACTTTATTAGTAAATGCGAGAATGTAAAAAAAAAAAAAAAATCTCAAAATTGACACCATGTTTTTTCTTTAAACTTTTTGAATGGATAGGGCTAAATGCACTGAAGAACATGACATACATGTTATTTTAATGTAACTTTTTAATATTTCAAAAATTACATAGCTTCGTTTCCTCGCTAAGTTATGGGTTAATGCGAGAAAGGCAATTTTGCTTTGCCATTGTGATGTCACAAGAAACAAAGAATAAACGTGTGGTATGCCGTATTTTGCTAACTTGACGTCACGTGATCAAGGATTTAACATGGGAATCATAGACATCGTTGAAGAGATGTAATGATTGAAAAATCGTGTTTCTTTGTTTGAATTTGGTTTGTACACTGTATTAAGACAAACCAATATCGTGTTTCTTTCTAATAATGTGCACGTTTGTGAATTTACATAAATATTGGGGTAGTTCTCATGTCTGAGAGTGAACTAGAATAACAGTGTATTACCCATTTATTAAGTGGACTGTGTTTAATAGAGTAAATTGGATTTGAAACAAGTTATCTACTTGAAAAAAGAGATAGTGTTCGACATTAAAACGTTTTTATGTTATACTTTTCCTTAGTTTATAGTAAGTATTTTTACAATATATTTTCTTCTTGAGATTATTTACTAAATTTGATCGTTTATCTTTTATCTTTTTGAGATTTTATTACTGATTTTCTCATTGTAAAGGTCGCATCTAGACATCGCACTTATTATAAGTGTACCACAACATTAACTGCACTTTTTGATACTCTTAATAAGAGTAACTTCTGAGTAATTACTTCTTAATATGAGTGACAAATACAAAAAGGCCTTCGAGACAATTTCCAGAAATAACCACCAATTTCGGCTAAAGCTGTACAATGTAAGAAAAAAAAAATATTGTATTGCTATGGAATATAATTTATGATATAAAATTGCAGCACGAAGAACAGAGCCCAGTTTCTGGTGCAATGAATGTTTATATTTAAATATGGTAGGCCCCTATAAATTGTGTCAAAAATTGGAAAATAAATTTTTAAGTTATAACGAGAAATAGGACATGTGGATGACTATATCATCCATAAATCAGAAAATGGACGAAATATTGCTCTTCAGTAAAAAAGCGGACAGATTATACAAACAATACACAGACAAACATACAAAGAAAATAATTTCAATATTTTGCTTCTTGGCCATATGTTTGATTTTTCAACATAGTAGTGATACGAGTTCAAAAACGCCAAAAAATTAATTCTTTCATTGAAGAAGAAACTGGGCACTTTCTTTGCGCTAGTTCAAACATGAATTTTGCTTAAAAGAAAGCATCATATTGAATTCTGTAGATTCTTCGCCAAACTCCTGGGAACATTGTGATTTCATCGACCAGTCTTGAAGTGCTTCTGGTCCTTGCTTGTATGGGGGCTAAAGGAAAAACTGCAGAAGAAATTCAATCAGCTTTAAAATTGCCAAAAGATATGCAAATGGCAAAAAATGGGTATAATGTTATCATGACTTCCTTAAAGGTATGTTATAAACATTCATTTTTATCTTGTTCTTCGATGTGCGAGTCGAAATACGATAGACAAATAATTCAAGCACAGTCTATTTCTGATCATACGATAGTTTGTATAAGAATTATAAATATTTTTTGATGATTAAGATTTTAGACTTGCACTTAATACAACTATTATTCTTAAATACCACATGCCTACAAATTTAAAGATAATAAAAACTTTTTAAAAAATGTATTGTTTTTTGGGGTACTGATTTCATATCTGAGCTCAGTTTTATCCCAACACGCGCCATTTTTTGCTTTCTCACACTTACTAACACACGAAGAGAAAGTATTGTAATCGTGCGCCAGAAAACTGCGAATTTTCGTCACAAAAACTATAATTGCTGGGCTCTGTTAAAGGAAAAAGCTGATAAATTAGTTGCTAAATGTAGAAAGAAATCCTCTAACACGTGGTGTAGTCAGAATCTTTTTTTTATTTGTCCTTCATACCTAAAAATCGATTAGCGGTAAAACGTCTGAATGTCTGGTCGTCCGTCCGAGCAAACGCTAGCACGTAAATCGTTCTGCCGATTTTCACCAAAATAGATATTCTCCAATCGTTCTAGCTGATATCGCGGATCCTGGAATTTTAATTTCGAGGGGTACTTTACATGAAGCTCCTGAGACACTTTCAAAAAAAAATACTCCAAATTGTTTGAGTAAATTTTGTCGTTGAATTGTGCAAAGGTCGTTTAACAGAATGGTGTAGGTCTTATTTACGTTGACATCCCCGATTTTTCGAAGATCGGAAAAAAATTAAAACGTCAAAATTGGAGATAGAGATTTTTGTCTGAGATAAATTCTGTTGTACTTTAAAAAAAGGCATGCAAAATGTTTTGAAAAAAAACAGTATTTTCAGTATTTTGCGATTGAAATTTACAAAAATATTCTCCAAAACTGCTCCAAATTCTTTCTTTAAATTTTCTTTAATTATGTAATAAAAGACGATAAAAATATGGAGCTAGTCACATTTTCTAGTATTGCTCTTTTTTTAAACAATTAAAGCAATCATTTTAAAACTGTAAAATTAAAGGTCGAGATTTTTGCAGACAAAGTCTGTGGTACAAAATTAGCTCTTGTAGGCCATCATTGTCCAATTAAGGTATCATACAACTGTGAAATGCAAGCAAAACCACCTACAAACTGTATATCTAGATGATAGTATATCCAGGTGATTAATTTATTAATTGATTTCATTAATAAGATGCTTATTAATTGATTAATTCCAAAAGCAATTACCAGGTGATTAATTTGAGCGTTTCGTTCATGGCCTAGAGACCATTCTAATTTATAAAATTTATGGGGATTTATCTTGAGGGATGCGCGCGCGGTGTTGCCGACTTTTATTTTTCTTTTAATTATAATATGAAAAATAAAAATGAGCTTTTATATCAATTATTAATGTTTATTGATTGTCTATTTAGTTGTAATTGATTTTCGTATCTTTTATTGAGACGATCATTGGATAGATTAAATCAGGAACACGTCACTTGAAAACGTATCTATTTGGATTTCATGGTACACTTCGACACACTTGTATTAATTTCGCCTAAAATGTAATGGCCAAGCCGATAAACATCAGGAGATCCGCCACGTCTTCCTCGCCAGGAATTACCGGGCAGTGGAGTTCCTGCCACTCACGGTAGGGGCCCCGGGTGAGCGGTGTGAAAGGAGCGCTGCGGCGCTAAACAAGTTGTTGCGGAAGCAAGCTGTTAAATCAACACACAAGAAAATAATTGCAGTGGCAATAAAAGGAAGCGCTGCCTGCTATTATACTCATACCGGCAAGAAAAACCTGATCCCCGCTGAGTACCGCCGCGCATGCAAGTAAATGCTAGATGATGTCTCCCGGGGACTGCGCCGGCCAACGCCCAATCGTCTAGGGGAAGGGGAGACCCCACTGCCTGCACCCGGCCTACACCAAGAACTGACCAGTGCGAGCTACCCCAGGAAAGCGAGTGCAGTGGTAGTGCGCAATAAGGTCGAGATAGTGACGCATGTGCTTAGGATTAGAGTAGGTTAGATATATATTGATAAGTGTAGTGGGTTAGATTATACTCGTACGCTAGAAGAACGAGGTAGAGACACATGCGAAATAGAGCTAGGTACTGTAACCACGCATGACATGTGGCTGCTCCGACTCACCTGATTACGTGGTTACTGCGATCCAGCGTAGCCCCGGCTGCTCAGTCTGTAGACTTTTTATAGTGGCATGCGTGATAGGGCTTATTCTCGTTCTAATACTGTATTGAAACACATGGTATTTTCAAAAGTGGATTTAATTTTCCTTTTTCATGAGGTGAAGCCTACCATTATTATTACACCTTAAAGCTAGCTTACAACTAACTAAATTCGGTCGTACGGGCCGGAGTTCATCCTTCAAAGCAGGGCGGCGCCCTTCCCCGCGGTTACGGGAACGGCGGCCCTTCGCCCTTGTGCTTGGCGCGGTGCGGTCATCCAGCGGCGCGGTCAGGCGACGGCTGCGTGTCCTCTCACCCCAGTGCCCATTAGCAAGGTGGCAGGCGGCGTGGTGGCGTCCACGGGCTCTAGCAATGTCTTATCCGGGCGTCGGCGTCGTGGCTCGCGGTAGCGGTGGTTGTGCCTCGGCCCGTCGTCAGTCCTGGGCTCGAGGTCGGGCACCCACAGTCATTGTCCGTGGCGTTCGTCCTTGAGTTAGCAACTCCAATGTGGCCTTGATGCATTCGGGCGGTGGCGCGGAGTAGATACGGTAAAGTACTCTCTGGCGTCCCTCCGTAAGCCAAAGAAACTCGCCTCGGCCATACCTCAGAAAGGCACTTCTTGCTGTCGCCTCCTCTATCGGAATGACCGAGCTTGTGTCTTGCAGCTACCTCCTCAGCTTCGCGGGTCACATGGCCCTCCCCCACTTCGTTTTCCGTGATTGGCGAGCGCGTGTCACGCGGTTTCTTCCACCCAATCGCGGAGTCGTTGTTGACCGTTCCAGTCTCGCCAAATTCTGTTGAAACTCAAACGTCACCCAAATTTCAAGAAAAGGTGCTGCTGAATTGCCGGGTCACTATTTCGCGGTGTGTTAGCGAATGCGCCCGAGGAGAGCCTCTGTTAGGACAATAGAGCTGCCTGCCTCCGCGTCCCCGACGCTGCCTACACCCTCGCAGGTAGCAAAAGATGCACATTGCCTGGCCTCTTTACACAGCAACGCTACATAGAATAGAATGTTGAAATACGCGTCGCAAACTGACGCGTGCGACCGTCCCATTACAGTAATAATATGTTCCGTGTTAGGATTGTAAGGAAGTGAAGGGCAAATAAGCGATAAAAGAAGTAAAGTAAGTGAGGAGAACAACCTCGGACTATACAAACAAGAAAGGCCTTGAATCACCTTGAACATTATATTACATGTACAGTAAGAAAAACAGGAAAAATGTATTCATGGCAATTACAAGTGGTGAGAAACCGCAATGTTCTGCAAAACAGTATGTCGGTATAAGATATAGATAAAATAAAATAAAATGATATCTGCTCTGTTCTTAAAAACTCCAGTGTTTACGATTACGTTGCTTCAGAACGAAGTAGTTAGAGTTCATGATTACGTTAGGAATTACAAAATAATTGAAACCAGTGACATTCGTTTTGTTTTCGTCTGAATTTCTTTTCGAGTATTTAATTTTTTTTGTATTTTAAGAATGTAATGCTGCAGTACCAAGAAATTATTTGCTAGATACCACATTTTTACGAATAGTAAAGGGATTAACGATAACATTATATTTCAAAATTAATTGTTTGAAACGATGAGAAAATAAAACTTAATAATATATGAAATAATAATAAATTATCCTATGTTTCATTTTTTACTGTGCAAATTTAATTATTTTTTTATTTCTAAAAATATGATGTAAGTCCGTTGTAATATCTTTTTACTTTCCCATATACGTACGTATACGGAGTAATATACGTAATATAGGGAAAGGGATGTAATGCCGTGGAAAATCAATTTCGAGATTTCAAAAGAAATACACGTTTTTGGGGTCCCCAGATATCGAAAAATTGTTGTTGTTGTTGTTGTTTTTTAAAAAAAACGCCCGACTGTCAGTCCGTCTGTGAACACTACGCACGCAAACCATGCGTAACATTTTTTTCAAATCGAAGAAACCCGTGTCTAATTTCAAGCACCTCTAGTCACAAATGCAATAGTGTTTACAAATTACTGAAATGTTCATAATAATGGCGTGAGAGATATTTTTAAAAAACTACATTTGTGTACTTTTTTAAAAAACAAAAGAATAGAGTAATATGGCGGAATATTCGATTGATATAGCACGTACTTTCGAATTCCTTTGCATTCGCATCTATCTTGGACGTTCATCTCATACCACATACAGGCACATTCTGCAATGCGCAAGGAAATCAGCAGACGTATCGCCGTTTATAGATGGCGTGAGAGAAAATATACATATTGCCGCGTGGAGGAAAACTGCAAATTCGATCACCAGTTCATAGATGGATACATTAAACTGTATACATAAAGCTGCTTTGAGACCTACTGCACAATTAAAGTCAATTTGTGAAAAAAATCTGTGCGTGATGGAGCATTTCTAGTAACATTTTGAATTTTAGCATGCAAAAATACATAAGAGACAGATAAAATTTTCAAAAACGGAAACAAAAATTTTCAATTTTTTTCGTCGCAGGCCTGTGTAATTATTGATAAACGATACATTATTATTACTTATTTTATGTTTCAATATTTTATCGATAGAGATTCGAATACATAATATTTGAATGATGAGTATATTTGTTAAATATTCAGTATTACTAGTTTTGATTACAGCAGAGACTAGATTCTGGGCAAGCGTTCGTACGTTTTGAACGAATATGCTACTATGCTACATATGCAACTACTTATGAAATACCCAGAAATCGTGGATTCTCGCCACTACACAACGTGGTTTCCACTTTGCATGGGCTCGGGCGCTACATTGGAAATCCTAGGAATGATGCTGGCCGCACTTTAATTTTAGGTCAATTTTGCATAATATTCTGCAGCTAGAAGAGATGTGCTGACGTGGAAAATATGCATAGTTCAATTGAGACAGGGGTTTGATAATTTTAATTGAATAATATATTTACGATTGTATAACATTACAAAATAGAAAATTAAATTTATCATACTCAAAACAATTGAATTTTGGAGAACAGCACTCAACGATATCAGTTCGTTAATGTCAAAATAAAAAGAAAAGTGTAGACACTAACTCAAATTCATAATGTAGCCAAAACAAGAGTTGAAAAAACAGTTTTGTGGGGGGTGCTGTATTCGATCAGCTGCATCTACCAATGAACGAAGTTTCAGTTTTATGTAGTTCTATTATTCCTTATCTCAAGAGGTGTAGAAGGGGAGGATCCCCTAGTCGACGTCTGCACGATTTTTAATGCATTTCATAATAGAAAACTCACTTTCACATGAACACGTGCTCCCAAGAAGTGTATAAGAATGTGATATTTCCTTATTTGATCTGTAGGAATGTTTCGGCTTGTAAATCGTACAACTCATGTACCTCAAACAAGTTGCCCTTGCTATTAATTATTTTTCTACAACGTGTGTTCGTATTTCCCTATTCAAATACATTTTATCTGTGGCGATCGGTAGGCATTCTATCAGTTATAACGGTGCCAGTTAGTGGTGCAACATCGATAACAAAACATCGATGGTAATAAAACATCGATCAAAAAACATTACGTTTTTAAACATTGATGGGAGGTTTAAAACTGGTTTAGTAGTTGGCATTAAGTTATAATGAAGATTAAACAGAAAAGAAACTAAAAATGATAAGAAGAAATGAAAAATACTCAGTCAGAAAGTCTGAGCGCCCACTGTAATCTCGAGAGGTCACAAACTGCCGAGTTCGCCGAAGAAGGGTACGAGAAGAAGGGGGGAACGTGATGGACGCTTGAAATGTAATATTAGATTAATGTTTGGAAATTTAATCAGAAATTCGCGCAAGTATTAACCCTAGTTATACTATAGTATGGAGAATTCCGTGAATTACCAACGGGGGACCTCTTGAGCGCCCAGTTTAAATTCGGATTTTTTTGATAATTTTGACGGGATAAATTAATAAATGATGTACTTAATATCATACACGCGCATTCATTTAATCAAAAATATTATTGAATTTAGGCTCTGCAAATAAAAGCTACTTCTTCTACAAAAGCACACACTTTCGCTCATAATATCGAACTGCTCCGCTATAGTATACTACTTCATCAACTTGGCGCATGCGGATAGCTCATTAGCCAGCGTTGCTCGTTTCCATGACGTGATCCTGTGGTCGTTTCCCGGTCGGGTAAGGGCCGGGTATAGTGTGCGTTTGCCTTGCAAAGTCCCAGTATACTTGTATGTTGCTGAGTGTCGTTGAGAAAACTCACTTCTCAGATTGAGAAGATCAGAATGCGGCGTGGGGATGCCTCTGTGCTAACCGCACTTACCCCGTAACCCATGGCCATAAGGCCCAGACGCCGCTGGTCGGCCCAGGCTTCGTCAGAGGCTATTACGCCAAAGTACATACATACATAAACTTGCGAAAGTGTTTTCAACCAGCAACAATTTATTAAACTAAAATATTTTAGTTTTTAAACATTTATTTATTAAACATTCAACTAAATATACAAATAGTTGTATGTTTAGTAGAGTTGTATATTTAAAACTATGTGATTCTGAGTTATTTCTC